AAAAAAAAAAAAAAGAAATGATGCCTTGAGCTCTTCTGAGTAAAATTAAGTCTAAGTTACTCATTCTGTTTAGTTCTGAGTTAATTCAGAAATTAATTGAATTAGAATTACACAAACAGATGAAAAATGTTAACTGTGTAAGGAGCAGATTTAAATAGATTTCTGAATTATCTTCTTAAAACTTGTAGTAATGTGTGAAAAAAAGAGGAAGATGATAAGGCGCATAGTTCAAAAGAAGAAAAGCTAACCCTGGTGATTTGGGTATCGTTGCAGGTTGCAAAGTTAAACGATGCTGAGAGAGAACTCTCTGAAATTTCTGAGAAGCTGAAAGCTTCAAGCAAATGTAAGTCATTTATCAAATATTTATTTATGTACCATATATAGTGCACTATGCTAGGTACTGGCATTACATTGGTTAGTAAGATATTAATATATTGTACAGAACATTAAGCCTTTCTAAGGAGCAACATAGCATTTTAGAGTTAGAACATCATAAATAATTTGGTTTAACCTCTTTAATAGTTGAGGGGAATAAAGCCCATGAGACAAAATGACTTGCTAGCATCTAACATAGTTATAACTGGTGTCCTTATTCCTAATATCAGTGGTGGTGTCTGTATATATTTTGTTAATAACTTTTCTATGGAACCGTTAGCTGAATTTTAAAATATTTGAGGCCATATTTTCTAAACTTTTGTTATTCCTATCTTGGACAGCTCTCTCAGAGTCACAATCTCAGGACTCTTTAGATGCATTCATGTCAGAAATGAAATCAGGGAGTGCGTTAGATGGTGTGTCCCGGAAGAAACTTCACCTGAGAACTTTTGAACTAAGGAAAGAACAACAGAGACTTAAAGGGTTAATAAAAATTGTAAAGCCAGCAGAGATTCCAGAACTGAAAAAGTAAGTAAGTCTTAGTTAAATATGGAATTTTAAGTAACATTCTAGTATAGTTACCATTTTTAATTATTCCTTTATCTCCTTACGAAATTATTATATAATGGAAACATTATACAAGGAACCCTTTAAAGCACAGAAGGCAATCATTTAATAGAGTAACCAAAAACCTGTTTCATTTGTGAATTATAGAGTGCTTGAGGGATTTTAGAAAAAACTATATTGATTTCTGGTTCATTAGACAGCTCTGAAGGATTTTACTCCTGTGAATCGTAAGTAGACAACCAAAGGATGTCAACTGACAGGCTGCAGAAAAAGAAATGTGAATATCTCTTATCTATATAAAAGTAGATGCTCAACCTCACTCATAAGAAAAGTACAAATACTTTAGTGTAACATTATTATTTATCTGTGGATTTGATGAAAATACACTGTGCTGATGAAGCTCTGACAAGAAGGCACTTTCTTAGATTGCTCACTGAGGAGCAAATTGGTGCATTCCCTATATAGGACAGATTAGTGGTATCTATCCTGTTTGATCTGTTCCATTTCTAGAGATTTGTGCCTCACATACATAGAAAGTGATTAATACATATTGCAACATTATTTATAATGGTAAAAGATTAGAAATCCTATAAATGTTAAAAAAGAGGGATGGTTAAATAAATTATAGATATATATTAGAATATGACATAGCTGTAAAAAAAAAAAACTGAGGAAACTATGTAAGATATGGAAACACTCTCAAGATAAGAAACAAAAGATACAGAATAAAGTGTGTAATAGGCATTATCTGTTTAAGAAATGGTGGTAAGGCCTGGTATCTTGTACCCTCGATGTATCCCCAACAATTTAAAAAAAAATGGTAGTAACAGAAGAATTCACAGGTAAGTAGGCCATTACTTGTATAGACATAAGTTCCATTTAGGTCAGGTTCCCTTTTTGAAATTTTGAAAATGTAGAGTAGGTTAGTATAGAAATAAAGCAACTCTCATGAGCACAATCCAGGTGGGCATCTCAAAATCGGATACTAACTAGCCCAGGAGTTACAGTGAGGTATGATGGCACCGCTGCACTCAAGCCTGGGCAACAGGGCAAGACTGTTTCTTTAAAAAAAAAAAAAAAGTGATACCATCTAGATAATTCACTCACTTAGGGAGCTTAGGAAGTTTCTTATTTTCTTTAGTTTTGTGCTATGCAGCATAGCATTCAGTAGTCTCATGTGCTATTAACATTTTGAAAATTAAATAAAATTAAAAATTCAGATTTTCACTCACATTAGCTACATTTCAATGATCACTAGCCACATGTAGCTAGTGGCTACTGTCTAGAACATTTTCATCATTGCAGAAGTTCTGTTGGATAGTGGTGCTTTAGATCGTCAGTAAGCATTTGTTAAGTCCCTCACCCATGTGTATAAAACCTACAACTTGATGCTGGGAGCATTACATAGAAGAGTATCTAGATATTGAGAGGTGGTACCTCTTAACATAGTTGTAGAAGTAAAATTTTTCTTGAGCCCTTTATGTGTATAGAAAATTCATTCCCAGGGCCAAACTCTGATAGGTCGAGGCAGTGGATTGCCTGAGCTCACAAGTTCAAGACCAGCCTGAGCCAGAGTGAGATCCTGCCTCTAAAAATAGCCAGGCATTGTGGCAGGTGCCTGTAGTCCCAGCTCCTTGGAAGGGTGAGGCAAGAGAATCACTTGAGCCCCCAAGAGCCAGAGGTTGCTGTGAGCTATGATGCCATGGCATTCTACTGAGGGTGACAAAAGGGAGACTCTATCTCAGAAAAAAAGAAAGAAAAGAAAAGAAAAGAAAATTCATCCCGAAATTGCTAACAGGGTTGTTTAAAGATTTATGTGTAGTTTGGCTATTTAATACAGTGATTACTAGATGAGTCCACAGAAGCCTACTTGACTCATATGATATTTGAGTTAGCTTACTGCTGGTGAGGAGACAGATTAGTAGTAGAGTTAGACTTCCTAGGTTTAGTTCTTAGCTCTATCAGTTACTTTTTAGGCATTTTTTTGGGGGGGGGGACAAGTTGTATAACTTCTGTGATCTCTACTTTCCTCATCTGTAAATTGGAAGTAATGATATTACAAAACTTAACACTAAAAGTGCTGGCATATAAGGCATATACTCATGGCATGCCATCATCATTTATAACATAGTTTTGGAGAAGAAAAGGTAAAAACTCTGCAGGCATGTCTGGGGTAAACAAATTATCAGTAAATTTTAATTCCAATTCTGTAATCCTTTAATTTCATGAATCTGCCCTTGTGGGATATTCTGGACTAAAAGACATCAAGCCCAGAACTTGATATCAGCTTCCTCCAGACGCAGTGGTTCTCAACCTTCCTAATGCCGTGGCCCTTTAATACAGTTCCTGTGGGTCACAACCCACAGGTTGAGAACTGTTGCTCCAGAGCCTCTTTTCCTACTGTCAGTCTTTGTGTTTATCTGGTTTAGCCTCCCTTTCCTGCTTTGATATTGGCATAGAGGCTGTGTATCTTCCCCTTCCTCTTCTTACTTGAGGATTGAACTTGCACGCTTTTTCTGCCTCCCACATTCACTTTCCAAGCAACTCCTGATAGTCAGTCCCATCTTATGCTTTTTCATCTCCTTTGGGCCAGTCTTTGCACATCCTCCAGGGCAACCTAGCTATTTGACGTAGCTGAGAAACACCTGTGTTGCTGTTGGTTTTTTCTTTCTATGCCAGAGCCTTCCTGAGGCCTGTGGGGAAAGGTGTGAAGGATAATGATTTGGCAAGAGGTCTTTCAGGGCCAGGTAGGTAAGATTCTTCTGGTGCCCTTAGGAAGGAAATGGGATTTATCTCTAGTAGTGAGAAAGAGAGTGAGGCTGGGCCCACAGAGTGCCACTGAGGGGATCAGACTTAGGTAAAAGAAGGCAGAAGTGGCAGGTAGAGCTTCAGGGTGGACTGGGGTAGCCACTTTCTGGTGTGGGTCACTATGAGTCAGAAGTGGCAGTACAGTTGTTACACAGTAGTTTGCAGGGCTGTCCCATGGTCAACATAAAGTGTAGTGTTTTCTTCTTTAGTCTAGTATGGTTATTCGAAGCTTTCCTGTCTCCTCATGCCATCTTCTCATTGCCACCTCTTTACTCTCCGAGTATCTTGTCAACTCAGCTGCCATCCCTTTTATTTTTACTCTTGTTTTCCCCTCTCCCTTTCTAATTTTTACTTTTTCTTTTTTCTCTTTCTCAGCTTTGTCCTAGTGGGCTTAGCTTTTATGACTATCATTAGCCAATGAGAATGTTGACAAGCTCACCAGTTGTGTCTCTCACTGTGTCTTTGTTAGTACTGCACAGGGTGTCCTCCCTAAGGTATTCTTCATAGGTTGGCAGGAAATAGGCTTTTTCACCATGGATCCATCCAAGTAAAGACATGGTCATACTTATATGTTCCTCCTTTGCCAGTGATCTTTGTACTATAGTCTTTGCATGGATTTGAAGGCACATAGCATGTTACAAATTACTGGACTCAGGGAGATGCCTTATCTTGCTCTTAATAGCTCTGTGTCTTTGACATTCAGCATTATTGTTCATTCAAACTCTGCTGGCCTACATATCTCTTTCTATTGTTGCATGATTAGGTATTCATTTTGTGGTAATTTTTGTTTTTCAGAAACTCACTGGAATAGAGATGTATAATCATTCTTTTTTCCTAGGACTGAAAGTCAGACTACAGATGGAGAAAATAAAGCTAAAAAGCTTACATTGCCTCTCTTTGGTGCCATGAAAGGAGGAAGCAAATTCAAATTAAAAACTGGAACAGTAGGGGTGAGTTAAGAGTCACAATATTAAACTTTTAGCTCTTCAATTATCCCTGAGCTAGTTTTTTCCCACTTTTTTTGGAAAATGCACATGATTTATTCCATAGTAATGTGAGAAAGGGCTATGGGCTTATCCTAACCACATCTTTCCCAGAATTTTGTTCTTGGATTTTTCTGTTTGGGTTAGGGTTATCAAGAACTAGTGAATTGATTCATGCCAGTCAGTTGGCAAGTAAATGATTTATAAATTAGAATACCAGTTTATTAATTTCTAATGAATGTTGCCTTTAAGAATGAATCTTGAGGCTCGGCACCTGTGGATCAAGTGGCTAAGGCACCAGCCACGTACACCCAAGGTGGCGGGTTCGAATCCAGCCCGGGCCCACCAAACAACAATGACGGCTGCAACCAAAAAATAGCTGGGCGTTGTGGTGGGCGCCTGTGGTCCCAGCTACTTGGGAGGCTGAGGCAGGAGACTCGCTTGAGCCCAGGAGTTGGAGGTTGCTGTGAGCTGAGATGCCACGGCACTCTACCCAGGGGGACAGCTTGAGGCTCCTGTCTCAAAAAAAAAAAAAAGTGAATGAATCTTGAGCTGGGCGCACTGGCTCATGTCTGTAATCACAGCACTTTTGTTTTTGTTTTTGAGACAGTTTCAAGCTGTCGCCCTGGGTAGAGTGCCATGGCGTCAGAGCTCACAGCAGCCTTCAAACTATTGGGCTCAGTTTTTCTATTTTTAGTCAAGACAGGGTCTCACTTTTGCTCAGGCTGGTCTCCAACTTGTAAGCTCAAGCAATCCACCTGCCTTGGCCTCCCAGAGTGCTAAGATTACAGGTGTGAGGCACCACACCTGTCCAAATGCACTTTAGAAGGCCAAGGTGGGAGATTGCTTGAGGCCAGGAGTTCAAGACCAGCTTGGGCAACATAGCAAGACCCTGTCTCTACAAACAGTAAAAAAAAAAAAAATTAGATGGGCATGGTAGTATGCACTTGTAGTCGCAGCTACTTAGGAGGCTGAGGCAGGAGGATCATTTGATCCCAGGAGTTTAAGCCTGCAGTTATGATCATGGCAATCAGTGCATTCCAACCTGGGTGATGGAACAGGACCCTGAAAGAGGGTTTCCTGCATTAAATGCTTTCCCCCTGGTGGATAGATATAATATTCAGACTGTGTTGTTAATAACATAGTATTAATGGTTAATAACAAGTGTTAGCTCTAATACTTGTCTCTGTCATGTTGTTTTCCCCACTTCATTTAATCCTTCTGGCATCTGATGATGTATGGAAATGTTTATCTCTTACAGATGAGGAAATAGAGTCAGAGAGGTTAAATTCCAGTTCATACTAGCATTGTGTAACTAAGCTGGCAATCAGATCAGGTCTTCTCTCTCTTGAGTTTTATGTTCTTTCCGCTGTCCTATAATAACTACACTGATGTATTTTTTCCTTTTTTCTTTTTTTTTTGAGATAGGTCTCACTCTGTCGCCCAGGCTAGAATGCCGTGGCCTCAGCATAGCTCACAGCAACCTCACGCTCACAGTTGTGGAGTCTAAAATCAAGATGCCAGCAGGGTTGGCATCTCTGAAGCCTCTCTCCTTAGCTTGCAGGTGGCCCTTCCCTTGCTGCCACTTCATGTGGTTGACTCTCTGTGCACTTGCACCCATGGTGTCTTTTCCTCTTCCTATAAGGACACTAGCATTATTGGATTAGGACTCCATTCTAACAGTCTTTTTTTTTTTTTTTTTTGAAGTTTTTGGCCGGGACTGGGTTTGGACCCATCACCTCTAGTATATGGGGCCGGCACCCTACTCCTTGAGCCACAGGCACCACCTGAGTCATTTTAATTTAATCACTTTAAAGACTTTATATCTAAATATATTCATGTTCTAAGGGATTACAATTTGGGACTTCAAACGTAAATTCGGCCCAACTACCTTGCATTAGGGTCAACTGACCTCTGGTGATAAGAGGCTTGAAGTCCCAGCTATGTATTCCGAATGAGTACATCATTTGCCTAAGATGGAGGCTTCTTTCTAACAGGCCCTCCTTAAAGGATTGCTATTGCACTAAATCCTATATTAAAAAGATGATATAAAGGCCAGGCATGGTGGCTCATACCTGTAATCCTAGCCCTCTGGGAGGCTGAGGTGGGTGAATCACCTGAGTTCATGAGTTCAAGACCAGCCTGAGCCAGAGTGAGACCTCATCTCTAAAAATAGCAGGGCATTAGGGTGGGCACCTGTAGTCCCAGCTATTTGAGAGACTGAGGCAAAAGAATCACTTTAGCCCAAGAGTTTGAGGTTGCTGTAAGCTGTGATGTCTGGGTACTCTACCAAGGGCAACAAAGTGAGACTCTGTCTCAAAAAAAAGATACACTTTGGTTCCTTCTTTCTATTCTATAACTGTGACTAACTTTTTCTAATAAGTACTTTATTTAATGCCTTGATTGACTATTTGACCCTATTTAAAAAATTTCTTCCTTCATGACCCATTTTTACTGATTTACATGTCTTGTTTCTTTGAAATTAC